CCAGTTTCTTATAAAAGATCTTAAAAGGAATACAGATAAAGAGATGGAGGGCCAGGGATTTAGCTCAGTGGTTCCGCCGCCTGCCTCGCAAGTGCAAGGACCCAAGTTCAATCCCTGGTACCAAAAAAAAAAGAGATGTATAGGCTTGAGGTATACAGGGAGAGCTGTAGAACTTCCATGCTTTCTGCTGCTTTCCCCACCACCTTTCCCACTCCATGTGTTCAGCTGTCCAGAAGCATTCCGAGCCTTGTCGTTTGGGTTTATGGAGATTTCATTAAATAGTCCTTGTTGAAGCATGGGGAACCACATAGAAATGTGATTAGACAAGAAGGGTATGATCTAATGTTAACAGGAAACCCAGCAAGGCCTGTGCAGATTCTTCTTGGCCTCTCTCTTCAGCATATTCTTCCTCCCAGGTATGAGGCACATTCCCTCAATCAGAAGCCTTATGTTCTACTGTCAGACCAGGTAGTTCAGAGAATTCCTTTCTGTCCAGCTCCAAGACGGCAGGATTAGAGGATGTTTTTTGTTTCTGTGACCCACCTTGGGGGAGGGAAATTAGTTTCTATAGCCTGCCTTTCAGAAAAAAAGTAGCAGATATAAGAGCAGGAAAGGGTCAGAGAAATTTTGCTTTTTGAGACCTAAAGCTCCCCAGCATTGTTATGGAAGACCATTTTTCACTTTTATCACTCTAAAGGTGTGCTGAAATAAGAAGGGCTGTGGACATTATGGACCAAAAACCATGAAGGAAAACTGAAAAAACTCTATCACCATAGCACACTAGTCCAGTAAAAAACCCACTGAAAGTACTAAATAACTGGTATATTGTTATAAGTAAGGAAACTTCTAGTCTCATTAAATTTTTACTGTCTCCCAATGTAAAATCTTTTTAAAATCTCCTTAAGCCTGCATAATCTATAGTTAGAAAAATTTATTCCACTTTTTATGCATGTAGCTCTTTTTTTGAAAGGAATAGCAACAAGACCTCTAGTTCAAGATGTTAAAATACACATTTATCTCCCCTCCTCAAAATTCCATTAACCTGACAGAAAAATATGGGAATATAAATCCATTATAGTGATGAGAATAGAAAAGCATGCCATCAGTACGTCAGACATTCTCAGACATTTCTGAAAATTAGCCGGTGAGGTTAGATTAAAGGAGACACCTAAAGATAGAAAGGAGAGACTCCATAATCATGGGGTAGCCAGGCATGGTGGGGTACCCCTATAATCCCCGCACTTGGGAGGCTGAGCCAGGAGGATTGCCATGAGTTCAAAACCAATGTGGGCTACATAGTGAGTTCAGGGCCAGCCTAAACTACATAAGGAGACCTTGTCTTAAAAAAGAAAGTCACAGACTAGCCACCATGATGAAAGCTGCTTACTTGTGAAGCCCAGATGAACAAGCCAAGATGTAATTAGCATGGTAAAGTCTACATTAAGTCCTGACTTGGGAATGAGTCCCATTCCAGGAGACCATTTGTAAATTGAATTCATTCTAAGTCTAACAAAGTGAGCCTTATATCCCTTTGACACAAACATACAATCTAAAGCATTAAAAAACCAAACACAGGGCCGGGGATTTAGCTCAGTGGTGCTGCACCTACCTCGCAAGCACAAGGTCCTGAGTTCGATCTATGGTACCAAAATAAAAACCAAACACAAATACCATAAATAAACTTTATTTTTACAGTTAATTTTAAATGGTACAGTACAGTACAACTATAAATAAACTTTTTACTTTTACATTTTCCTTTAAGGAGTGTTATAGTATTTTTACTTTTCTTTCCATGGTTATTACTTTACACTTGGTAGCAGTCCCCTCCACATCACCACTGTTTTTCCTCTTGCTTCCGTGCATCGTAGGCTCTGATTGAGCACTGTACTATTGTACACTGTCACAGTGTACAGTAAACACACAGCAGCACAACTCTGACAATGTCCGGCAGACACATGAACTACTCGCACAATTTGTTCACAACTACAAGCGTTCGTAATGCGAGGTCATTTGTGTCTGTGAAAGTTCACAACTCAAATATTCAAAAGTCTGGGACTTAATGTATTTAAGATATAGTCAGGATGGATGTTTTTCTTCTTATAGAAGTAGTTACTTAAATTGGCTTTAGAAAAAAAGGATGTCCCGCCTCAAAAAATCTGAAAATACCACATCATGGGTCTAAGGATGAAGGAGAGTATTATGGCTTTGTGTCTAAATGTCCCCCCAAAGCTTCATGCAGTCATAGGTGAGGCTTTTTCAGAGGTGGCCAAATCTAGAATGTGTTTGATTCATGATGCAAAGCTAGGATTAAGGGTGGGTGGTTACTAAATCTGTCCACTGATTGGTTTGGCACTACCCTAATCTCAGTAGCCTGAATGCAATATAAGGGACAGAGGCTTGTCTTTGTCCCTTGTTTGCTTGCTTTGCTACCTTCTGCCCACTATGAACTTTTTCCTCTGTAATGCCTGTCTGCCATGGGACCCTGCCTTGGAGCCAGCCAGTTATGGACTGAAACCTGTATAAACTGTAAGCTAAATAAACCTTTTCCCTTTTAACTTTGGGGGTCAGGTATTTTGTCTCAGCAATGAGAGAAAAGTAAGACAGAGATTCTAAGTACAGGCATTGACATGAAGAGAAGCCACACAGAGCTCAAAGTAATTTCACAATCCTACAAGCAACCCAGAACTTTTTTTTTTAAGGAAAGTCTGATTCTATCTAAAATACACTGAAGTACCCACCAACCAAAGTAAAATCTTTCTTCCTGTGACTGTCCTATAAATTCTCTTCTTACACCCCAAAGACTGCCCTACTTGCAAACATGCCCATTTGCAGTCAGTTCCACCACTCAAGAGGGTTGTTATTGAAATAGATTTTTACAACTTCTGAGTCTGTTTACAACTGCTGAGTATGTTTATCATCTTAGTCTTTCATTACTAACTATGTATGGACATTTTTATTAACATGTAAGAAGGACTTAATAAAAATTTATGCCCACCCTAACTTAAAAACGTTTTCAACTGATAAGAACAGATACTATACTTGATCTTAGCCAAAAGGCTGAGAAGTGATTAAAAACGTTTTTAGAAAGCTGGGATAGGAAACTTAAATTAGCTTTATAGAGTATTTAAAAACTATTAAATACTATACTTGAGGGTGAAACCTTGTAATCATTTCTTTTAACCTCAATATCAAGGTAAGGAACATCTGTGCCATTCAACAGTATTCTGGATTTGCTAACAGTGCCAGAAGACAAAAGGAATGAGAGAGAAAAAACACTGCAAAAGAATTAATAAAATAAAATTGCAAAAGTATTCACATATGTGAGATTTTGTGCTACCACTGAAAAACTGAACCAGTTAAATGGCAAGAAACAAGATAAACATTTTTAAAATAGCTTCCTTATATTTGACAATAGCCAATTAGAAAAATGACAAAATTTTAAAAGAAAAATGGTAATTCACCATAATACAAACCTAAAGTATCTAGAAGCAAAACCAATATGAAATGGTATCTGCATGAGTAGAACTATTAAGACTTTACTGAGGGATATAATGTATTGATGGATTCAACATTGTAATGATACAAGTTTTTCTAAAATTAGTCAAGGTAGTCCAGTTAAAATTTTTTTAAAAGAGGAAATGATCAAACCAAATACCAATGTGACTGATGAGCCATAGTTCACTGGTCAGAATCAACCTAGATCAGGAGAAAGTCTTGAAAAACAAAAATGTGGGACTACTCACCCAAATATTAAACCTGAAACGGGGCAGGGATTTAACTTAGTGGCACCACGCTTCTTGCCTCACAAGCTCAAGGCCCTGAGTTTGATCCCCACTACCAAAAAAAAAACACCCCTGAAACTATAATTAAAAATGTTAGTTAATGCAAAATGAGATAGACTAGTATAATGGAAGAGAGTCCAGAAACAAGACTATGTGTACATACAATGAAATATGAAAAGACAACATTTCAAATCAGTGAGCAACAAGAGAATATTAAACATATTGGGGTGATTAGCTATCTTTTTGGGGAGATGTTATAATCCTTTCCACATTAAAAAAGCCCTAGATGGATTACATATTTAGATGCAAAATAAGAAAAGATACTAAAAAGATTTTCTTGTTGTCATTTTGGAATAAAGAAAAGATACCCTGGAACCCATAAAAGTTGAAAATATTTGCCTATGTAAAAATATTAAAGCAATATGTGATTAAAAGTAATAATGCACACATACGGGTAGCAAAAATAATGTCACCTGTGCAGTGGAATTACTTGTGTATATTAAATGATCTGTCATATGAAAAAATTATTATTTACCAGATTTTCTTATATATTCTTAGCATAGCCAGAAAAATATTTAGTGTTCTCAAAAATGAAAACTAATGTATCTTTGAAACCTATGTTATTATGGAAAAGAATAAAACATAATTCTAATATCATCTTGGATAGGGATTATGGGGAGGAAGATTAGCAGTAAATAGATATTAAAAGTCAGCAAGGGGCAGGGTATTTAGCTCAGTGGTTCCGCTGCCTGCTCTCTAAGCGCAAGGACCCGAGTTCGATCCCTGGTGCCAAAAAAAAAAAAGTCAGCATGGTTGCCTTACGAATAGACTTGCTGGGAATAAAAATTATTTCTTAAAAATTTCTCTCCAAGCTGGGCATGGTGGCTCATGCCTGTAATCCCAGCACTCGAGATGGTGAGGCAGGAGGATCCCAGTGAGTTTGAGGACAGCCTGGAACACATAGTGAGTTTGAGGCCAGCCTGAACTACATAGCGAGACACTGTCTCAAAAAATCGAGAAAAAAAAAATTGCTCTCCAGCATGTTTACTCAAATTAGTTTACCTTTATGAGGTTGGGTTTTTTCCTCCAGAAGTTGTAGTGTTGATTAATTGATCATCTGAGTGGTTAGGTAGTTGGTATTTTTCCTACCATAGAAGTAACTTTTTAAATAACTAACTTTAAATGTGAAGGAAATTAAGCTTATAATTATGTTCTTAGGATCAAAGTTCTGATCGTACCAGTCTTTCTTCAGTGGGAGCCCAGGATTCTGAATCTACCTCTTTGACAGATGAAGACGCCTGCCATGAGTTGGAAGGAGCCACTTCCTCCCAAGAGAGCAGTGCCACTTCCGGGACCAAGGGAATTGATCTCAGCCGGACCAGCCTGGAAAGTTCTGCCTCCTTAGAAGGTTTGTCCAAACAGTTCTATCTTATTGCATTTGATTTGTAGTACTACTTTTTTATGATTTTACTTTATTTTTCAATTTTGTAAAAGATTTGTATAACTCAAAAACAACTCCCAATAAAAGTGTTTTCAAAGAAGTCTAGCTTCTATCCCCACCCCACCCCCCATACTGTTTTCTTCCTGTCCCTAGAGGAAATTATTTTTACTAAGTTTTGTTTGATCCTTTCGTTGTTTTTTTTTTAATGTAGTATTGGTACTTCTATATATACTTTTTACTTCCCTCTCTCCTTACTCAAAAGGTAACATACTACAAATCTCTTCTCACCCGTTGCTTTTTTCTCTTAACAGTGTATCCTTAAGAATTTTTATCACATAGCAGTGTCCCTCATTCATTTCTGTTGCTGCACAGCTCATCATGTGTGGTTGCATCATAGTTCACCTTAACCACTTCCCTATTGATAGGCATAAAGCTTTTAGTCTTTGAAATGCTATAGTACATATGTCATATTTTTACCAGTATTCTTTAGAAGTTATTTCAGAATTGATATTTCTAAGTTCCCTCCTATAAGGGTGTACTATTTTGCATTTCAACAGTATGTGAGAATACCTTTTTCCCCAGAGCCTTGTGAACAAAATACACTGGCAGACTTCTGAATTTTTGCCTTGAGTTAGGTAAAGAATGTACTTCACTTTATTTTTTGTTTATATTTCTCTTATACAAATGAAATTGAGAATCTAGTGTTTAACATGTTTTCCTGTTACATTTCTTGTGAACTGAGCATTTATATCACTTCTTTTTACATTGAAAAAATTTCTTTCATTATTGTTTTTTCTAAATTACCTTTAATATTTTATATAACAGATTGACATCAGAAAAACTATGGAATTGAAAGATTCTCATATCCTTTCTTATCAGTTTTAATGGTTTTGCTGTTTGTGTTTTAATAATGAACAGGATCCCTCTCAAAGTTTGCCTTATCTGGGAAATCAGAAGTGCTATCTTCTCTGAACACGAGTAATGCAAATATCTTCCAGAACTATGCAATGGAGGTACAGTTTTACTCAAAAGAGGATCTTTATGTGCTACTTTATAAAATGTACCCTTAAGTACTGATGGTCCCTGGTACAGTAATAAGAAATAGGTAGCATCTGAAATATCAGCATCTACATCACCTGAGAATAAAGTTAAAATCTGGCTTTTGGGCCGCTGTGTTGGATCTTGCATGGTAACCCACCTTCATGCTCTGGGCTTCTTTTCCTACTTTTACTTGGCCCAAACTTGCTTGGGTGGGGCCTGTTTCTTTTCCTACCTTTAATAAAACCTTTCTACCATTAAACATTTTCTATCCAGCTTTTGGATATCTATTATTTCAGATTATTGAAGTCATACTACTTTATTAGGTCAGTTGCAGGCTTACTTTGAGATTTACCGACGTACAGAATGTTTTCATTTTCAGCATTTGTGTTCATCATTCTTTGTTATATGGGTATTCTCTTTGAATGTTTATTTCACATCATAAAGACAAGCACTTTTGCTATGCAAGCAAACTTTTTGATAAAGGTTCAGAAAGTAGTTTCAGCATTTCATTGTCAACTTCTTCATTGTGTTTTTTTATTCTCATGTCAGTTTAATGTAGATCTCTGCTGGGTAAGCTTCTGCATCCCCTTTTCTTGGAATGAAAAGTCATACTTTTATAATTTTAAAAATTTCCCTAATTTTCCTGTGAAAATTGCTTCCAGCAATATTTGTGAGTATAGTCACTGTTTCACACCAATTTATATAAATAAATCTGCATACAGCTGGAAAACAGATGATGAGCACTGATGTTGCTGTTTATAAAGTTCTTGTGACTTCAGGAATTTCTGTATTTTATTAATGTAATGATAGCATTCACAGTTATCCACAGCAGTGCCTCTCAGCCTAGTTACAGTGACAGGCTAGGCCTATTTTTGATCAATTTCTAATCTGATACTCCTGCAAAATATGTTACTTACGCACTGAAACATCACAGCAGTGTTAAATTACTTTACAGATTTCTAAATCCTGTCATTTGCTTTCGTATCACAAACCAATAAAAGTTTGTGGATCAGAACTGGTCTGCTGACCACACTTTGGTTCGGAGTATTAACAAATTTAATGCGTAAGTTTGCTTTTCTGTGACTAGAACCAGAGTAGATTTTATAGTACTGCAGTTATAATAGAAAATACTCACTAAATGCAAACTTTCCTTTCAAGCAAAAGTTTTGGAATAGATTTAGCTGAAATAGTTGAAGATGAGTATGGCATACAATGCAATGGATGTTGTCCAATTTTTGTTTGTAATGTCTGAATCCTTCTGAGTGTTAATTTTCCAATAGAAAATTGAAATCGTTTTTAACTCAAGATATGCCCTCACCGGTTTGCTTTGTAAAGTACTATCTTCTCCCTCAGGTTCTCATTTCAAGTTGTTCTCGGTGTAGAACTTGTGATTGTCTTGTTCATGATGAGGAAATCATGGCTGGCTGGACAGCAGATGACTCAAACCTCAATACCACATGCCCATTCTGTGGCAATCTTTTCTTACCCCTTCTGAATATTGAAATTAGAGATTTGAGACGACCTGGAAGGTAATGGTGTATTTTTCCCATTATGATTAAGGATCATGTCTCCTAGAATATTTCCTTTCTCAGAAAACTCCTTTGATTCACATTCCAGATATTTTTTGAAGTCAAGCCCATCAACAGAAAATATGCACTTTCCATCCTCCTTTTCAAGTCAGACGAAGCACTCTTGTATTTCAACGTCTGCCTCTGGACTTGACGTATCTGCTCTCTCTGTTCAAGGGAATTTTGATCTAAATAGGTAGGTATGATTATGGGGAGTTATATTTTTATTTTTTTCATTGTTACTTTTTTTAAGACAGGGCCTTGCTATGTTGCCCAGATCTTGAATTCCTGAGGCCTTCTGCCTCAGCCTCCTGAGTGCTGGGATTACAAGCATGCCCCATACCCAGCTGGGGACTATATTTTAACATTATTCTGCATGTTTTATATGTTTACATATGTTTTAGATGTATAACAGAAAAATTGGCTGAGCATTTCAAGGCTTAAGTTTCTTTGAAATGTACATTTATAATCTTAAAGTCTTACTCCTAATTAAACAAATATTAAAATTCTCCAATAGCCTAAATTTTAAATATATATAGTTATTTATATGCTATGCTTTATGAATCTCCAGAGTTTAGCCAGGTGGGATGGTGCATGCCCGTGATCCCTTCACTTGGGAGGCCGAGGTAGGAAGATCACAAGTTCAAGACCAGTCTGGACCACATAGCAAGACCTTGTTTTAAACAACAAACACTATAGAGTTTAACTTATATGCATATATGATATTGTTTACTCATCATTTAAAGATAAAAACTCTGTAGCATGCTGGAAGTTTATAATGATCATCTTTCTTATCACCATCTCTTCAGAAGTTAAGTCAATACTGATTTCTGCTTTGTAATATTTAACTTTCTGTGTAGAAATAATATATGAAAATATTTCTCCATATTTCAGCTAAATTTATTTAGTAAGCCTGATATAAGTAATCTTTACTTAAATGCAGAAGTGCCAAAAATGTGTAGATAGCTGGACAGGCGAAGCAATTTTGGTAGCTGCACATGCCAAAAAAAAAGCCTATACAGTGTTGGCAGCCAAACATGACCTATTTGATCTTAGGTGCTTACACAGTAAAACCAAAAGCCTGTGTGTGCACCTTCTTTCATCATAGATCTGTTCTGACTCCTGAGGGATTATGTGTCCATCTTCTGTACTTTGTATCCCCAGGGGCCAGTGTGCTTCCTGCTGTATAAAAGCCATCACTGTTTTGAATAGATGAATGAATACTGAGTAAAGTTCACTGGATAAAAAGGAAAATTGGCATGACTACTCTACTACCTAAAAACACATCCTATTTCCTAACAGAAGCCTGAGAAACATGTTTTCTTTATTTGCTATGTCCTGTTAGAATTCTAAAGAAAATAATATGGTTCTTCTATATGAAATAAAGTAAATCTGGACACTAATAACCTTTTTTTTTTCAATCCTCAAGCAAATCTAAACTACAAGAAAATTCCTGTGCCCGAAGTATTCAGATCCCTGCTAATAGATCAAAAACAGCTATGTCAAAATGTCCAATATTTCCAATGGCCAGGAGTATTAGTACTTATGGCCCCTTGGACAAAGAAGATAATGGTGGACAGAAGCTCATTCCTACAGGCAGCCTGCCAGCTAGTTTACAAGGAGCCACTGTATGTTTTTTGGTGTTTTTATAATTTGGAAATCAATCATTTAAATATGACTTTGTTCCCTGTGTCTTAAATTTATTAGCTTCAATTTTATTATTGTTATAAAGAGTCTTATCCCATGATATAATTGTGTTACCTTTCTACTTATATGGAGATTGTTGACAGAAAAATTTTTATGAAGTTTAGTATGATCATTCTTCTGTTATTTATGGTTTTTATTTATTCAATAGGATTCTTTGGGATTAGAATGGCACCTTCCAAGTCCAGATCCTGTCACTGTTCCGTATCTTAGTCCATTAGTAGTATGGAAGGAACTTGAGAGCTTATTGGAAAATGAAGGTGATCATGCAATAACGGTGGCAGACTTTGTGGACCATCATCCAATTGTTTTTTGGAACCTGGTGTGGTATTTCAGACGTCTTGACTTGCCCAGTAACTTACCTGGATTGATTCTTTCTTCTGAGCATTGTAACAAGTATTCAAAGGTATGAGAGTAAAATTAAAAGCAGTGCTCCTATCACCACCATGATGTTTGTGTATTCCTAATAATACAAACTTTTGTGCTTTTTTAATAACCATTTAACCATTGGACATGTAGAATTGTCTTAGTTGCACTTACAAATAATTTTTTCGGGCTGGGGATTTAGCTCAGTGGTTCTGCCTCCTGCCTTCCAAGCAGAAGGACCCGAGTTCGATCCCAGGTACCAAAAAAAAAAACCAAATAATTTTTTCCTTTTTTGTACCAGGGATCGAACTCAGGACCTTGTGCTTGCAGGGAAGGCAGCGAAACCACTAGCTAAATCCCCGACCCTAAATAATTTTTCCTTTTTTTTTCTTTTCCATTAAGTTTATTGGTACATTTTAGGTATAAAATATAGTTACAGTCATCATTGGGATCTTGTACCTTTACATAACATATTTTGGTTATTATTTTTTCCCCATTTCCCTGCCTTCCCATCACCCCCACCACCCTTCCCTATTTACAAAGACTGTTTCCATTTTTTTTCCTTTTCTCATATTTTTTCTTTTCCCTTCTGTCCTTTCCCCTACCCCTCCCACATCCCCTACTCCTTTAGACCTTTTCTTCCTATTACACAATATCAGTTATACATTTTTAAAAACTTACAATATGAAGATTTAGAGGACATTACCACAAATTTTACAGAATTTAAAAGGATATAGAAAGCATATTACAAAAATCTTTTTTGAAATAAATTTGACAACTTCTGTGAAGTACCTTGGAAGACAAATTAATGAAACTGGCTCTGGAAGAAATATAGAATTTGAATAGCACCTATTAAAGAAAGTATATTCTTAGCTTGAAAACCTACCTATATGAGAACAACAGACTCATACACATTTTAACTGATAAATTATATAAAACATTTAAAGCAGAAAAAAGGAACACGTCTTCCCTCATTTTAGGAAATCAACATTGTGCTAATACTAATACTGGATAAAGACAATAGAAGAGAAAAGTATGAACATAAATAAAAATTTGTTTAACAAAACAAACTATTAGTCAGATCTGGCAGTATGTAGAAAGTGGTTTTATTATAGGGATGGCAGTGTTGATTCAGCTTTGGAAGCTCCACCCCCATATGTCATCATTTTAACAGAGGAAAGGAAAAAGCCATATGATCCTGTCACTAGTTGGAGAAAACGTATTGGACTAAATTCTACAGCTATTCATGGTAAAAGCTATCAGGAAACTAGAAGTAGAACAGAACCTTCTCAACAGATAAAAGACATGTACTCCATACTTCCAGCAAAAACACCTAATATGAATGGAAAAGATACAATGCTTTCTCCCTAAGGTGGGGAACAAGGGAAGATATGCCTACTCTTCATCTGTCCATTAAACTCTGAAACATAGCCCCAAACCAAAATAGTTTGGCAATAAAAATAAATACCATAGGATTGGTAAGGTAGAAGCAAAATGTTTATATGTAGATGAAATGATCATCTACAAAGAAAATACTAAGAAATCTCTAGGAGCTCCTAGAACTTGTATTTGAATTTAGCAGCATTAGAAAACACAAGGTATATATAAAAATTCAGGTCTGTGTATACTTGCTATAAATGAAGAATTGTATATTGAAATTTAAAAGTTATGTAGGAGTACAAAGGACCTAGAAAAGTAAAAAAACAAAAAACAAATGAAAAAACCAGTGTTCGAAGACATTTATTACCTAATTTTAAGACTTCCTCTAAAGCTGCAGTAATCAAGGCAATGTTGGCGTAAGGAAAGATCAATGGAATAAAACAATCTAGAAATAGAACCACACATAGTCTACTGATTTTTGAAAGATTTAACATTAACATTAACATTGTATAGAACATAAACTCAACTCAAGAGCAGAGGAAAAGATAATGTTTTCAACAAATGGTACTAGAACCTCTGGTATCCGTATATAAAAAATTAACCTCAACCCTTTATTTCCGTACATAAAAATAACTTGAAAGGATCTATGAACCTAAATATGAAAGACTAAAACTATAAAACTTTAAGAAGAAATTATAAGGGAAAATGTTCATGAATTCAGGGTAGGCAAGAATTTCCTAGGACACAAAAAACATGATGTATAAAAGAAAAAAATTGATAAATGAGATGCCATCAAAATTTAGAACTTTAAAAGACATTGTTAAGAAAATGAAAAGTAGTCCTTAACCAGAACATATTTATAATACATATAACCTATGAGCAGAATATATAAAGAACTCTTACAGGTCATTAATAGACAACCCAATTAAAATAGACACAAGAAGATGATAAATAGCCAGTACAGCACAAGGAAAGGTATGCAACAATAGAATCAGAAAAATACTAAGCAGTACAATAACAAGATTGTATTATACACTCATTAGGGAGATTAAGTTAAAAGTTTTAAAAGAACAAATGTCAGCTTAGGTGTGAACCAGTTAGAACCTTCTAATACTGCTAATGTGAATGTAAAATGATAAAACCATTTTGGAAAACAATATAGAAATTTCTTGTCTTATTGTTAAGAACCAACAGTTCTGTTCTAAGTTTTTACTTAAGAGAAATGAAAACACATGTTCACAATAGATTTGTACATACAAGTTGACTGTCCCTTATCTGAAATTCTTGGGACCAGAAATGTTTCAGATTTTGGGTTGAAATCCACTTGATAAAGAGGATAACTACTCCTGCTTTTTTTTTCCGGTTCCTGTCGCATGAAGTATTATTTTCCACCCTTTAACTTTCAGTCTATGAGTTTCTTTTTGAATTAAGTGTGTTTCTTGTATGCAACATATTGTTGGATCTTGCTTCTTGACCCATTCTGCCATTCTATTTCTTTTGATTGGTGAATTGAGACCATTAACATTGATGGTTATAACCGATACAGAATGACTTATCATTGTCATGACGTTTTGTTTTTGCTGGATTCTCCCCCTTTGTGTTTAATTTCTTGTTTCACCCAACAGATTCATTCTGCTGGGCTTCCTAGGTTGTGATCCTCATTGTCTTTTCCTAGGGAATTGTCTAAAATTTTTTGGAGTGCTGGTTTGGTATTCTTGAAGTTCCTAAGGTGCTCTTTGTTGTGAAAGTATCTTATTTCTCCATCAATTTTGAAAGATAGTTTTGCAGGGTACATCAGTCTGGGTTGTTTTCCTTTAGGGCTTGAAATTCACCACTCCAAGCTCTTCTTGCCTTGAGGGTTTGTGTTGAGAAGTCTGCTGTGAGTCTGATGGGCTTTCCTTTGTATGTGATTTGTTTCTTTTCTCTCACTGCTTGTAGAATTTTATTCTTCAGTTGGATTTCTGGAATCCTAACTATTATATGCCTATGTGTAGAGTTTTTTTAATCA